TGTCTTGTGTTACCAGGTGGTGTTTACCAGTGTTAATGTACAGTGTGTGTCTTGTGTTACCAGGTGGTGTACAGGAAACAGAGACAGTGCTGTGTGACTTGTGGAGAGCAGGGCCTGGTAGCGCTCCCCTGTGGCCACGGACTTCAGTGCCAGAGCTGCTCCTCGTCCACGGAGTGCCCACTCTGCCCTGAACACCCCCCCAAACAGCAGCTCTCCTGACCTCCTGACAGCTCCCAGACCAGTCAGTCCTGATTCCACACTCTACCAGCTCTGGATCCAGACAACACAAGCACTGATTTATGGTGTACTTTTTAAAATGGCATTAACAGAGGAATGAGCAGCTTAGTGGGAATTACTCACTAAGTTAAAGCTCTTATTGTGGAAATTAATGTTACCAATGTTACCCAACAAAAACAAAAACTTTCTGTTAGTTAGTGCACCTGACTTGTGAGCATTATCTTTTTACTGTTTTTTTCTCACTTTAATTATGAATAATTTACATAACTAGTTTTAAATAATGTATTTCAGAAGTTGAATACTTCAGAGACAATATTTCCCTGCAGTGTCACGGTCCATGTTGGTAGTTTGGTGATTTGCTGAGGGTTAAAGGACTCTTTGATTTCTGTGGTATTAAAACTTCACCGTTCATTTTCCAGCAGAAATGACCCAAACTGAGCTCTGCTGTGTTTTAACCCTCAGGACAAAGTGATGTGGTCCTGACTTCAGCTGGTGTAGAACCTCCTGGATGGATCATTGACACAACAGATAATCAGTTTTTTACATGTATTTTTCAAAGTTTGAAGCCATTGTGGGCTTAAAAAACCAATAAGACACTTGAGAAACACTTAAAGGGCATATTTAGTCTCATCTAGACAATAATTACTGCTACAGCCAAAAAGACACATTACATCATCATCCTGATAGGAGCTTTTTAATGTTATATTGACTTCTTTCACTCAGTTAGATTTCTTTTGTCACAGTTTTAGCAAAGGGATATTTAAAAAGTCAATGATTAATATAGTTTAGATAATATTTGTTTAAATTTACAGCCAGTGGCCACAGTGTAAAACCCTCAGGTTTCTCTCATTTTCCTCTGCATGAACTGAGGCCAACATACTCAGCTTGTGTTTATTTTATTCTTTTCCTCAACAACTGTCACGTCAACACAACCAGAAAACGCTCAACAAAAGCATTTGTTAAAGAGCTTATAAGCTATTTTTAAATCAACATGTGACAGGTTTCTCTGCCAAATCTTTACATTGGTGGTAATATTTCACTCAGTGTATAATATCTCTTTCATATATATTACATACAAATGTATACACAAAGCAAACTGATGTTCTACTTTCTCTTGCACTGATTAGCCTAAAAGCATCAGTTGTGTAAATGTTTCAGTGGAGGTGTGAAAGTGTTGCTGATCACTGTGTTGGTCTTTGGTAAACCCATGCTCTGCAGCGCCACTGTTTCCTTCGGAGTGCTTTGTTCTCTTTGTTCTCTTTGTTCTCTTTGTTTTTGGTACTGATCATTAAAACAAATTGTATATTTTTGAAAGAACAACGTGTGTTTGTTTGTTTATCACGATTGACCGCCCTCCTGGGATTGTTTCTCTCGCTGTCGTCGCTTCTTCACAAAAGCCTGCGCCTCCCGCTCGCTCCTCCTCGACTCCAGTAGCTGCAGGATGCCGTCCTCTGGAGAAAACACACAAAACACACAAAACGCACACAAACTGCAAGTTTAGGCTCTTCTGGTTCTCTTAGATCAGCTGAGTCAGCTGCTCATAAATCATGAAGCTGATGCAAATGTTGATCATTGAAATACAGCGTTGTTCTCAAGAACTAACAGTAGGGTTGGGCATTATCGTATCGTGTGCAGTTAATCATCAGACATTAATTAATTAATTATTTTTTGGCACTTGATTAATATGATTAATGCCACCAGGCAGACTGACTGGATATTTCCCAGTCAGTCCACTTGGTGCTCCTCTGCTTCATATATGATGAACATTTAAACAAAAGTCCTGTAATTTATTTATCAACACAATTTAAAATTTGATTTGTAGCCTGAAGTCTAATTTTGACACAGATTTTTACAGAGTAAATCTTTCCACTAAATAGGTCATGTGACCAGGACATAAGGTGTCCAGGGACTCCAGAGGATAAATCATCAAATTAATCATTGTTAAATACCACAATTAATCATGATTAATGTTTTTGCCAATGTTGCCCAACCCTAACTAACATCCCTTCATCTTTACCCACTTCTAACCTAGGCAGGTCTCAGGTCCATCACAGGGCTACAGACACACAACTCCCTCACACCTAGGGACAGTTTTTAGGGTTAAGAACTAACATCAAATGTCTAAATGTGTCCAAATGTGTGTAGTGTTGTACAACAACTTGTAGACGTTAACTCAGCAACCTAAACAATCTGAGAAAACAGTTTGTCTCTGGAGTATATGGGATTAAAATTCATTTTATTACAGGTTGTAAGGCAGCAAAAGTTGATTATAAGTAATTAACATATAAACTACTTCAGATTAATAAAGTGAAATAAGAGAAAAACAGATTTATACATAGTTTTAAAACTATCTAAAACTGGGAATTGCAACACAGTTTAGTCTTATTACCATTCATCAGTCACATAATAATGAAATGTATAAACCTTTGATCTATATTAGTGGATTGGACATGGTCTGTAGCCTCTGTAGCTAGCAACGCGCCGTCACAGGAGCCATTACTGTGCATTGAGTCATGTCAACAAAACAGAGTTTCAATGAGAGATGTGTGTCAGTCTGTCACAAAAATATTCATAGCACCCTCATGTCTTATCTGATTTCTATAAAATATGGCTTAAATTAAAAAATTAAAGAAAATTGCTGATGTTGTGAAATGTAAAAATATGTATTTTCTCGAGAGATAAATCTATAAGCAGTC